GGAGAGTGAGTAGTCCTTTTATAGAATAAGGGCTCCTCACTTATTACATATTTGCCCCTTCATTTATTACATAATTACATTTGAGTCCCTCGAGTATTTATACGAGATCTAAATACATAGGCCCTAAGTATGGTACAAACACTACCGTATAGAGATTAGCAGGACAATATGTCATTTTATCAACAATATATTTAATTTCTTCTCTTCTGTTTATAGAGGAACAACAAATTGCATTATAGTGATTCAAGTCTTTTCACTTCCTTTGCTCATATACAGTTAATAGCATTTCCTGGATAGTATAAGTAAAATGTTACCGCTCAAGGATACTCTTGATTCTTCAATGCTTGTTATGTCCAATGGATTTTCCGCTAATAGTTGTCAATTTCAAATTTGGGTCCTATTTAGGAATGCGCAATGAGACATTCGATGATTCCCGTTCAACAACTGCGGCAGTAGCTTCTGGTTTCACTCCCTCTAGTGATGCCAGATATCTTGAACAAGAAGGAGCAACCTTGTCAAGTACTGGAGGTATTATCAATGTTTCAAGAGTTGCCACTGGTGCTTCAGAATTATTGAGTCTTTTGAGAACTCTCGGGGAAGGCTATAGACTTTCCTGCATGTACAGATGCCAGGTACTGCTTGGTTATTGTGGAATAAAATGAATTATAATTTTTTTTTTCTTTTCTAGTTTGAGGTTGTATTTTATTATCTAATATTGACTGTGTTGCGCAGGATGCACTGGATGTCTATCTCAAACTTCCATACAAGCATTACAATACAGGATGGGTGCTTTCCCAGGTAAATTTTATAGAAAACTTCGTGGCTGTATTTCTATCGTCTCCTGCAGTGATGACCTTGTACACAGCACTGGATTCATGTACCAAGTACAGGATTCCATTCACCTATTTTCTGCTGTTTTTCTTCCACACTAGTAACATCTGATTGGTGGAACTCTGTATAAGTTAGTTGGCTAGTTTCAAAAACTAATAAGAAAATAATATCTTTCACATCAGATATAAAAAAGACGTGATGTTGCACTGCATTTTACAAATTTCTGCTATTTGTTTGATTTCTCATTGTCATCAAAACTTAATTAATTTGTCTTGTCACCCTTTTGTCTCATCTTTAGACATATTTCTTTCTCTCTTATGTTATGCTTCATATAGTCTTTCATGATTTTTCAATACTGAAACCTATGTTTTTCAATAATTTCATGTTCACCCAGTTAAATCCCTTGCAGCTGCTCCCTTGAATGATTTTTGTCCCTACATATTCTACACTTGCATATAATTGACTATTTTGGCATTTTTCATTTGCAGGTTGGAAAAGCTTACTGTGAATTGATAGACTATTCAGAAGCTGATCGGGCCTTCAGTCTTGCTCGTCAGGCATCACCTTACAGTTTAGAAGGAATGGATATGTATTCTACAGTTCTTTATGTGAGTTCCCAAACTGAAGTAGCTCAAAAAAATTTGAAAAAAAATTGTTTTTTCCTATGTCTTGGAAAACAGTGATGTGGTTTCCAGAGGATACTTTCGTTATACATTGCATGGTCAGTGTTGCTCCACAGTCCGGCTAATCCTGCTTCCTGCTTAAGTTCAGCTTGGCACTAATTTTCATTGTTGGCTTAGCTTTCTCCTTACTTTAGTGTTAATAGTTTAAAGGAAGGCATGCATATGTTATTTAATCATATTTTCTGAGTTTCCACTGTGATGTATCATGTATCTCAAATTAAAACAGTGTCGCTTTTTTCCTATTTAGGAGAAGTGTGTTGTGTTTTTAAGAGGGTCTATTGTACACATTACATGGTCGGTTTACTCCAGCCAATCATTCTGAATGGAGCTTGGTGCTTAATTCACTCCTACACTTTTGTATCTGTTATTCTTTGTACTTATAATGTTAAACAGATGGTGTGATTTTTGTTTTCCCCAAACCCTGATTTTCTTTTCTTGAGAAACAGGTTTTTTAATCTTTATTCATGATTTTTCAGTCTGCATGCATATAGTATAACCGGGTGCCCATTGTTTGATTGCTGCACTGAAAGTTATTCTTGCTCTTTGCAGCATTTGAAGGAAGATATGAAGTTAAGTTACCTGGCTCAAGAACTGATATCAACGGACCGCTTAGCTCCTCAGTCGTGGTAGCTATATCTAAATTTTGTGAAATAATACGGCATTAGATTCTCAGTTTTCTTGTAAGTATCTGTTGTCGGTCATAAAGACACTTGTTTTCTTTCTTATTGAATGGTACTGCAGGGTTGCAATGGGAAATTGTTATAGCTTGCAGAAAGACCATGAAACTGCTCTGAAATTTTTCCAGCGAGCAGTTCAAGTCAATTCAAGATTCACATATGCACATACCCTTTGCGGTCACGAGTACGAAACAGCCTTTTTCTTCCTTCCATCCTTTAATGCATGAAATTGACGTTCCCGTAATTTGATGGTTAACTCTGACCTTGTATCATTTAGTTACTGTTGTCTTCGATTTATCCTTATCTGCAGATATGTAGCTCTAGAGGATTTTGAGAATGGAATAAAGAGCTATCAGACTGCACTTCGTATTGATGCAAGGCATTTTAACGCCTGGTATGGGCTTGGAATGGTTTATCATCGCCAAGAAAAGTTTGAGTTCTCAGAGCATCACTTCCGAACGGCTTTCCAAATTAACCCACGTTCTTCTGTTATTATGACGTATCTGGCCTCAGCACTGCATGCTTTAAAGGTTACATATCCATTCTAACATTGTGGCTCCAGGAAGTCTACTTATTTACAAACTGGTTCTTGTTTTTTATTCAATTATCTGAAATGTATTTGTTTCGATTGACAGAGAAGCGAAGAAGCTCTAGTGATGATGGAGAAAGCTATTAGAGCAGACAAGAAGAATCCACTTCCCATGTATCATAAGGCTAGTATACTAATGAGCTTAGAAAAATTTGATGAAGCTCTAGCAGTCTTAGAGGAGGTTAAAGAATATTCTCCTCGTGAAAGTAGTGTGTACGCTCTGATGGGTAAAATCTACAAGCGGCGTAATATGCACGAGAAGGCGATGCTTCATTTTGGTTATGCATTGGATTTGAAACCATCCGCAACTGATGTCGCTACCATTAAGGTGATTTGGGCATATTTCTTATTCTTTATTAACACCCACTATCGATAACTTTCCATGTAGCTTTGATCGCAACACAAGCATATCTTTCATTCGCATTTTACTCCGAGGCTCATCTCTTGCTCTTCCAACAGGCTGACATTGAGAAGTTACATGTACCTGATGAACTAGACGATGAGTAGATCTATCATGTTGGAATTCAGTTAAAGAGAACATGGCGCAGGTTATCCGGCTGAAAAGACTCAACCCTGAGTGATGGTCTACTTGTGCTTTCGAAGGTGTATGAATGGCCTAGTTCGTGAGACTCGCCTGCTCATTCGGGCACCTGCATCCAGTCTACATATTGTAGAAACTGGCCTCAGTTTTGTAGGTGATTCACATACTGGTAGAGGACAACATGTGACTCAAGCACTAATAGCTGCTATACCAGTACGGATAGTTGTATCATCATGTTGAGGAAAACCTACTTGTATCATTGACTTTAACCCTAATGTTTATATTTGTAATCTGCCTTAATCTTTGACCAAAATTGTAAAAATCTGTTATTAATTTTCGTGTTAATACGAGTCTGAACCATTAAAATTAGCCAGATTCAGAACTAGGGTTCTTTTGTGGCCACTGGGCCCAGATCTCCGTCCCCAAATCTTCATCTCCAAGCTTCGAAGTCACCTTACACGGCCACAAAATTTTCCTCCATCCACTTTATTATTCAGCAAAAATTATAGCTAGTGCCACAATCATTTGAAGTTTTTATGGCAAAAAATTTTAGCGCTTAAATATAACAAAAACCCACCCTGAAATAGGGGTAACTGCTCTTAACGACTAGAGCTACAAGCCCAACAATTTATCAACCTTTCCGGATTTATCGCCGGGTTTTATTTCAGGGTTATACAGAGAGGCTTCCATTCTGCTAGCCATGACTTTCAAGCCAGTGCCAATAAACAGGTCCACATCCTCCAGCCTCCATCCCTCCACTGGTTCAACTTCATACTTCCACACAATCGTACACCCAGCATCCTTCCGCACCACTTCAACATTCGAAATGTACGAGTTGAACCCGACATTCCCATATATGATAGTAACTAAATGTCATTGTTGCTGGGTCTTTACCCAGCAGCTTCTGCTTAGTCCAATTCACCTTCTCTTGGTCTTGGTTTCGGTTACTTCTTTGATCAACCGGAGTCTTGAACCCAGTGCAGAACCGCACGCACCCCTGACGTGCCTTCGACGCCAAGGCAAGTAGGCAGGTTGTGAGAGTTGGGAACCACTTGTGCAGGCCAAAGAAGTCCTCCAAAAGAGGCCATCTCTGCTTTGGGGCCTTTTAGCTCTGCACTTGCCTCGCCTTCCCATTTCAGTTGTTTCTCATGTGCCATTTGGTTTGTATGAAAAGAAAGCTAATAACAAGTGGATGTTTTGAAGAATGGTTCTCTCAGTAGGCTTTATTCGCACTCCACAATGCACCCACCCGTTCCTTGTAATAAAAATACAAGGAAAAAATGACTTGTGAACAAGTGTATAATAACTTTCTTGAAGCGTCAATAGCCGCTCCCTATATATATACATTTCTAAAATATGATTTTTCTATTAGATGAGAGATACTCTTTTGTCACCAGTTCACAACACGACAAACATTTATTACATGGGTGACGTGGCATGCAACAGTGGTTGTATCTTTAGTCAGTCACGTGCTGTCATGTGAGTATGTTGAAACTTGAAACCCATGGCAGTGTGTAACTGTCTTGGGATCCCGTTACAATGCTATCCTGTTATAGTTAAGTTTTTGTGGTCTTAGTGATCCTTAGTGAGTAATGATTGAAGTAATCTCCATTTTGATGATGAAATCACTGAATCAGCAGAAGTAAATAACAGCTTGAATGGTAATATTAACTGAAGGATCAAAGGTAATATTAACTGAAAACAAACTTTATTTCTGTAATAGCACTGAGACTGTAGACATTTTAGTATGTATGTATGTATGTATGTATGATTTTTTGACATCAAACTATCACCCGTTCTCGAGATCTAAGACAGGAAAATGTACAATGGCTTGTTCGAAAACTCGAACTAAGACTGTACAATGTCACACAATAAGAAATGCTACTACTTCAACTCACTTTCTACCTTTTGTTTCTTCTGATTGTGTAGAAACTTGTAATGTTGATGAAATTTTGTTTCGGTTATGAATCTGAAACGGAACTGCCTCCCTTTGTAGTCTCTTTAACGCTATCGATCTTTGAGGTGTCTGAACTTGTTTCGACCTTCGATTTAATGTCAATGTTTGAATCTTGTGCTGAGATTTTGCTTTTGGCTTCCAAATCTGCACCATTTGTTCCATCTTTAGACGCAACTTCTTCACTTACTGCATTTTCACTGATTTCATTTTGATTATTCGAACTCAAATTCATTTCCTGATGACCCGTGATTGCATGATCACCACTGGATACAGTCACTAAGGATTCTATGATATCATGGCCATCTACCGGCACACCATTCTCATCATCAAAACCATGGACCACTGCATCTACCACTGAATTTTGGCCCTCAAGAGAGTCATTCTTACTTTCATCCCATCGTACTGAAATGTCTGTGTTAGTAGTACTAGATTCCTGCAATCTCTTTGGCTCTTTCTCCTGGCCCTTTCCATTTTCTTGCTCATCACGATTAACTTGTGATTCCTGCTCCTCGTCCTCTCCTGCTTCATCGAGACTAATGTTCTTCACATGTTTCTCACCATTTTGTTCTGAGATAACTGCCTGTGTACCTTCCTGTCCCTCTCGGTAAGTTTCTTCACGCGATGAATTCTCGTTCAGCCCCACTGTTTCGCCGTTTCCTTTAACTTCACCATCAGAATTCTCATCTGTATTGCTCAATTCTGTGTTCTGAACTTCTGTTTCCTTTTCAACTTCATTTGCTTCGTTTACTTTCTGCAAAGATTCTTCTTCATTTTTCTCTTCAGCACTTCCATCGAACACATCATTTTCATCTTCTGTCTTTATACTTACTTCTCCTACATGTTTTGAATCTTCTGATGCAGACACACCTCCACCTTTTGACCACCCTGCACTCCCCTTACGCCCGAAAATATTAGAACCATGTTCTTTACTGGCCTTGCCATCTGCACCTTCACTATAGTCCTTGCCATGTGAGTGCTTCATCTGGTATAGCAACCAGAAGCAAACCACCAAAAGCAATGCAATCTGAAACGACGGCTTCACCTTCAACCCTTTGGCAGGTCTCTGGTTGCGCCCGGTAGATTGGGAATTCATCAAAACTCTGTAGACCTGCTTCAAAAGACAATATTCTCATAAATTTCCAACTAATTGTCACAACGATAAGGAAGAAAAAGTGAATAGGGTTTTGCCATCAGCATCAGAAATAAGGAAAAACCACTACTTATTCTAAGCAATTAGGGTTTTGCAAATTTCCAATCCCCCCCCCCCTTTCGAAAAACCAACTTGTTCAAAAATTTTCCTTTGGATTCAAATTAGAACTAGGTCAACAAATCTTTCAGGTAATTAATATAACATTAGTCTATCATCTCAATCCTATATCACAAAAACAGACCTTAATTATCTTTCTTAATTAAATTTCATCCGGACAATATTCAACGAGCTACTAAATAAATAAAGTCTATGAACAGAAAACAGAAAAACCAAATAACCCTCTGTTTGGTTTCCGAGAAAATACAGGAAAATGTTCTGAAGTTTGAATCTTTGTGTCAACGAAGTCCAAATTCAGGAAGTTTCCAATATTTCTGGTAAGCAAAAAAATTGCACTGGAAAATACAAACTTGGGTTTCTTTCTTTTCCACTAAATTTAACAGCAATAAATTCACAACAGCGATCAGAAAATTCAATGACTTGAGCAATAAACATACAGATCACTCAGAAATTTAAACAATAAAAGAAAGAAATTCACAGAAAAAAAAATTCATTTCATTTATTGAGAAAAAAGCTTACCTTGTAATCAGTAATGGAGATTCAAGAAGCTGACTGCGATGTAATTTTACTTCTTCTTCTTCTTTGTGATTTATTTCAAAGTTTGGTTCTTTTGGGTGTACAAGAAATGATCGAGGAAAAATACAAATTAGCGGTTATTTTTTGTACGTGATCCCGAAAGTACCCCTGCAAACAAGACGCTTTCAGAGTCTTGTGGTTTTTCGCAAATACCGTGGAGTATTAAGGGTTGTTTGGGTAGGGAAGAATAATGTAGGGAGCTTTCTTGATTGTTGTGCTCTCTTTGCCGCCATCGGAAACAACGACTTACCTTTTTTCTCCGCCGGTAACGGAAATAAAAGCCGGCGTTTTGGCATACGTCTCGTCCACATGTCTACACTCCACAATGATAAAATCCGTGTCATTGATCTTTCTCGCATCACTTATTTACAAATTCATAGATTTTGTCTACAAAAATTCGTACAAAGTTTGGACTGTTGAATAAAAAATTATTCGCTACACTCGTTGAGATCATTGTTCTACATGTTTTTCTTGGTAAGATGCATGGGAAACTATGGTCGCGTGCTTCAATTTGTGGTGGTAGTCATGATTTTGGTTGCTTTACATTTGTTATGCATGTTCTTTGTATAAATTTTCTCTAATGAATCTTGTTAAGAAAGTAAAAATTATAAACCACACACAAGACTCCTTGTTATTTCTTCACATTTTTCAAACTGGATCATCTATATATAAAGTCAACGGAAAAGGTGAAAAGTGATTTTGGTGTCACCAAACTTCAACAAAAAAATTTGGACAAAAATGCCCCCAAGACAAAAAACTTCGAGGGCATCCCAAAATAATGCATCAAATAAGGCGGGGGCATTTTTGTCATTTTAATAGTTTTTTTTAATAATTAAATTTTTTGTGTTTTTTTTTAAAATTAGTACCTCACAATAGACTAGTAATAATTTGATTTAATTTCTCTATTCTTAAACATGTTCAAAACGTCTTAAGAGACATGTAATGCCGGTTATAAAAAAGGTTATTCGCATGCGGATAATAATGTGATTAAATTAGTTGTCAAATGATTGTTTTTTTCAACAAACGATATAATCTACACTAAGGGGGAGAAGGGGGTGGACTTAACCTCACAATGAGCTAGCAATAATGTGATTCAATTAGTTGTTTATTACATATTATTTTCTCCATTTTAAACACGTTCAAAAGATCTTAAGAGGTGTGTAATGCCAGTTATAAAAAAAGGTCTTTCACATGAGGATAATAATGTGATTAAATTACATTAAATTATTTGTCAAATGATTGTTTTTTTTTAACAAACAATATTATCTACACTAAGGGGGAGGGGGTGGGTTAGCCTCACAATAGGCTAACAATAATGTGATTCAATCAGTTGTTTATTTTCCAATGAAAAGGTGAATAGTGATTTTGGTGTCACCAAGCTTCAATAAAATTATTTGAACAAAAATACCCCCAAGACAAAAAACTTCAAAGGCATCTCAAAATAATGCATCAAATAAGATAGGGGTATTTTTGTCATTTTAACATTATTTTTTTAATAATTATTTTTTAATTAGTACCTCATAATAGGCTAGCAATAATGTGATTCAGTTTCTCTATTTTTAAATACATTCAAAACATCTTAAGAGGCGTGTTGTAACACCCCGCCCCGAATCAATTCTTTAATTCAAGAAATGATGTTATTACTTTTGATAGGCCCAACCTAACAATCATGTTTAGTTGATTACCATTAATTGTTTATTTTCTACCATAGTCAATTCTCTAATCCTTACCTTACATTCAAAACCGACTAAAAAATAAGGTAAAACTCAAATTATTTACTAAATTCCTTCCTTTAATTCTACGTCTTGTTTCCGACCTTGATTCATAAATAAAAAAAATTTAAACACCAAACATACAAATTTATTATCATCTTGTCTCTATTTCCTTTTATAACACACTTCTCATTCTAAGAATTATTTTTCTGGTTATTTAAGGCTGCATCTAACACTGTTAGACTGCCTACGTACCCTGGAGTGGGATCAAGCCTTTTGTAGTTCACGAATTCCAAAATTAAACAAAATCTGAATATATGCAGTTAATCCAACATATACCAAAATCGTATTAATATTCAAACCACAAAAATTTTGATCTCAAAAACATAATTAGAATAATGAAATTCACATAAAGAACAATTATCGGCTCCCTGGCCGTGCGCCGCAGCACTTGCCGCCGCGGGTGGCGGTCGGCTGCCCCGACTCGCCGAAAAATTCAATTATTTCTAAAAATTCTCAAAAATTACATAAATGAAGATCTCAAAGAGTAGAGAAAACTTTATACCTGTGGCCAAGTCCAATTTTGTCTAGAAAGACTCCAATTTGGCTCAAACCCGCCAGAACCCTAGAAATGGGTATCCTTGATTCGACTTCAAACAAACTCCGAAGCCCCAACCATTGCTTGGGGTTTGTTACTGGATTAATAGGAGTCTACTGGTGGTAGAAATTTAATCAAATTATTTCAGATTTGGTGGGATTTAAGCAAGGTAGGTCGCGGCACCCTCGGGTGTGTTCTTCTCAATTTCAAGACCAAACTTCATGATTTTTGGGGGTAATAGGGAGAGGGAAGGTCGTGGAGGGGTTTCCAAATGGTTGTTTGACCCAATTCACCAGAAAAATAGGTGAAATTCCGTTGGAAATATGTGTGGCGCCGAACCGGGTCGGGTCACCAAGGCCCGGGTCCTGATTCCCCGTGTTCCCTTCCTCTACTTTCCCCCTTGGTTCTCTCTTCCCATTGGTCCCTCACTCATCTCCCCCTTTCTTGATTGGCTTCTCTCTCCCTTCTTTCTCTCCTTTATCTTCCATCTCCACCGTCTAACTTTTCTTACTTTTAATCTGGGCCACACACGTGGCCTTCCAGATTTGGCGTAAAAAATATGGAGCATTCTATAAATGATAAATTTATAGTTTTACCTTCGACTTTAAGCGTTAATAACTTCTTCGTTATATCTCCAAATTGCGTTCCGTTGGCGCCTACGAGTTCGTGAGATCGAGCTTTATTCAAAAACATAAATTTTGACCTTGAAAGGTCTACAGATTTTCAATAATTAATATCCAAACTTTAAACCTCATAACTAGTTTACTTTAAAACGAAAATTTTATGAATTAATATAAATTCCCAATTCTTTTTACATATTCATAATTATGAATACCAAATTCCTATAGTTACATTTTTCAGGGTATTACACGTGTAATGCTGGTTATAAAAAGGGTCATTCGCGCGCGGATAATAATGTGATTAAATTAGTTGTTAAATGATTGTTTATTTATTTATTTTAAAAACAATATAATCTACACTAGGGGAGAGGAGAGTGGACTTAGCCTCACAATGAGCTAGCAATAATGTGATTCAATAAGTTGTTATTAAATATTATTTTCTCTATTTTAAACACGTTTAAAACATCTTAAGAGGCGTGTAATGCCGGTTATAAAAAAAAAGTCTTTTGCATGCGGATAATAATGTGATTAAATTAGTTTTCAAATGATTGTTTTTTTTAATTTTTAACAAACGATATTATCTACACTAAGGGGGAGATGGTGGGCTTAGATTCACAATGAGTTAGCAATAATGTGATTCAATCAGTTGTTTATTAAATATTATTTTCTCTGTTTTTAAACATGTTCAAAACATCATAAGATGTAACAGCCCGTCCCTAAAAATTATGATTTTTATAATTTTAATATGTGAATTTACGAAAATGCCCTTCAAGGCAGAGTTGACTTTTGTTGACTACCGTGTTGTGTCACGTAAGACTCATTTTCTTAGCGTATCCTAGTAGTAATCATTGCTACGGACGCGTGAGCGCAAATTGAGCACAATTTGGAGTTATAACGAGAGAGTTATTAACGTTTAAAGTTAGGGATAAAATGGTAATTTTAATTGATTTGGAAGGCTTCAGATTTCTGGAGCAAATATTTGTGAAGCGACATGTGTGGCTGGGATGAAAGGGAAGAAAGAAATGGATGGCTGGGATGAAAAGGAGAGAAGAGAAAGGAGAGGAGGGGTAGGATCAGACCCAATCAAAAAATAGAGTAAGGAGGGAAATGAGGGAACAAATCTCCCCTCTTTTTGGACCCGTGTACCCACGCCAACCAACCAATTCGGCCGGGGTTATTCCAGCCAATTTCCACCCATTTTCCCAGCGATTCATGTTAAATTAACACTTAGGAAACACTCCATGACCTTCCCTCTACCAATTACAACCCAAAATTTATGGAGTTTGGCTTTGATTTGATGAAAACCGCACCCATGGGCGGGATGAATCCGTGTCTTCGATCCTCCAAATCTGAAATGATTTCATCCAATTATTGCCACCATTAGACTCTCCTTGAGGTCTAGAACAAAGCCCAAACATTGGTTGGGGGCGTCAGAGTTGCCATGGAGGTCGAATTGAAACACACCAATTTCTAGGGTTTCCAACGGGTTCGAGTGAAATTGGAGCCTTTCTAGGCCAAATTGGACTTGGCTGAAAGTATAAACTTTGCTCTACTCTTTAAGATCTTCATTTCTAGAATTTTTAAAAATAGTTGAATTTTCCTGGTGAATCGGGGCGGCTGACCGCCACCCAGGGCGGCGCGTGGCCAGGGGGTCATCGATGCTATTCTTAGGCTAAATTAGATGCCTTGAATTTAGTTCTGACAATAGTATGATGCAGGTTGATCGTTAGAACCTAAATTCTATACAATATGTGATTACGTCATTATATGAATCGACGATCCAACCGTTGGATTGTCTTCAAACTTTAATATGTTATAGTACATAATATTTGAGGATCATAGGAAATTACAGATCGGGAATCCGACGCACAGATCTTCCCGAATTGAATTTGTAAGTTAGTAAAATAAAACGTTGACCGCCACTTGAATTTGCAATTGGCGGAGATCCAACCGTTGGATTGTAATGAAAATTTAGAATGTTATTCTAGAAGCATCATGTGGATCTTAGGAAGTAACGGATTGGAAATCTGTGATGCAGATCTTCCGGATCAAATCGTAGGGGTGTGTTTTATGTAAATTATGTATTTTATCGATAAAAACTCTGAGACGTGATTAGATAATTGTTCTAGGCGACGATGGTTTGTGATGTTGCAATATTTGTGCTAGGGATTC